ATTGAACCCATGAGGAAGTGGTTCAAGCTCCTTAGGCCAGAGCTGCAGGGGCAGTGAGAGGCTTCACCAGAGACAGAGTGGGGAGCAGAATAGGCAGATTGAGGAAGCACACTGCTGAGGGGAGCAGCCTTGGGACAGGAGAGGTCTGCTGTGCCCTGTGGGTCACCTCCTGGGGGGGGGGATGAACTCGCCTTAAGTGGCTGCAACTAGCTTGCAGTGCTGTGTCCTAACATTGTGCCACCAGGGAGGCCATGAGAAGCTGTTTTTGCTGTGTTGCCGGGTGTGGGAAGGGAACCCTTGCAGAGGACACAGACCACCCTCCGACCTTGGGGAGCAGCAGGGAAAGTGGGGCTGCCCTAGGGCACATGCTGATATCAGCATCACCCCTGCAGCTGGTGAGTGAGTTGGGGGTGGGGCCCAGGGCACCCTGAGATTGGGCACACCAGCGCTGGGAAAGGGATTGAACCGCTTTCAGTTGGTATCACATCCTGGGTCCTGGCAGGAGTGGATGCCAGCCACCTTGAAGGAATACACCTTAACCTCAGTCCTCAGATTTCCTGTAGATTCAGCCAAACATGAGCTCAAAATATAAGAGCACAAAATACGAAGAATCAAATGACTCTGAAGAGCAGTCAACAGCAAGAACAACCTATTTAGACCTCTAAGGACTTCTAATAGTTGGCACAAGATGCAAACTGCATGTGAAAAGTTTAGTGAAATATAATAATGTATTCCAAAAATTCACAAATAATAAGACACTAGAATGACCAGTCAGGTTTGAAAGAGCATCATCCGGAACATGTTTGGGGGCCCTGGGGTCAGCTGGCATTTTCTGGTGAGTTTGTCACCCTGGGAGGCATTCCTGAGTGGCCTCTGGCACACCCACAGATGCAGGTGTAGCGGCTGAAAGGTGCTTTGATAAATGCGTGGAGTTGCTTCTGCTCTTTCAACAGTGACTCAAAAACGTGCCCCCATGACCTGGCATGTCCAGATCTGCAGATTCTTTTTTTTCTTAAGATACATATTTATTTATGCATATAGAACTGGGGTACAGGCCAGAGGTGTTGGGTGTGAAAGGATTCAGCAGAGACACTGAGGAGCAGAACAGGCTGATTGGCCAAAGTACACTGCTGACAGAACAGCGGGGAGACAGGAGAGGTCTGCTGGGCCACGTGGGTCAGCTCCCTGGCGGGGGGTGGAACTCCCATCTGCAGTGGCTGGTGATAGCTTTATGGTGCTGAGACTTAACCCCTGTGCCACCAGGGAGGCCCCACATCTGCAGATACTCACAGCAACCTCCCAGCACGGCCAAGGACTTGTGCCAAACTCAATCATTTAGAAGCAGAGAGACACATTCAGTATCTATTGAGAGGAACTGAACACAGTGGGAAAACATTGTATGATGAAATAGTGTGTAGCTGATAAACATTTTATTTGCCAAAGGCTGGTAAACACACGAATACTTATGATATCATAGGCAGGATAAATTAGGTAGGAAAGTAAGATACAAAGTTGCACATACAAAATAATTTGTACGGTGATGTTGAGGAAAAAAGACTAAATACAGTGAAACATAATAATGGTCGTCTTTGTTTAGTGGGGAGACAAGGGGTGTTTTCTTCCCCCCCATCACTCTAAGGCTTGGATGTGGCACAGTCCCCCTCCCCCAATTCATTAAAAAAAAAAAAGTAGGAAAAGGATAAAATTGTGGTTTTGTTACTCTCCCCCCCATCCCATCCTGAAGGCTGAACTCAGGGTCACCCTCAGGTTCCCCTTTGGTTCCTGTCCTGTCCCCTCCTCCCTTTAGACACCCACTTTTACTCTCTCTAGTTTCAGAGCCCACAGGCAGTTAACCTTTGCCCCACAAGGAAGGAGCCACGTTCTCCATCCTTTCAAAGCCAGGCGTGCTTGGCTGGGTGGGGGTGTCCGAAAGGCTCCCGCCAGCCCCAGTCACCCGCCCAGTGTTCACTTGACCTCAGGCGAGTCCGGGCAGGCCCTAGCTGGGTCATGGTCACCTCTGGGGGGGGGCAGGGCAGAGACCCACACACCAAGTACAGACCCTCTGAGCTGGGGAGACCTGAGTCCATGGATCCATGTGTCCTCAGCCTCGAGTTTTAAAATCATCAGGGACTTGTTAGAAATGCAGAGTCCTGGGCCTGGCCCCAGAGATGGTTTGGGCAGGTCTTGGTGGGGCCCAGGAACCACGTTTTAATCACTTTCTCAAAGGAATGGCAGCTGGGCGGGTCCCAGCCCGGCTTTGAGAAGTCAGAGCCCTGTCTAACAAGCCCCCCCCTCACCAGCTATGGGGTGAGTTTGAGAGGAGTAGAAGGGGAGAGAGGGCGCCTTTGTGGGCGCCTGGGCTCCGGGGCCTTCCTGTAGGACACTCAGACCAAGCCCCTTCTCCAGCCCCACCTGGGCCCAGTGGGGTCCACAGGCTGCATGTACTGCTCGGGGTGGTGAGCCTACGTGGCAGGTCTCCCCTGGAGCCCTGGAGAGGCCACAACGCCCGGCTGGGGGGCTGACAAGGCTTCCAGGGGGAGCCCCGAGGAAGGGGAGAGCCGGGCTGCTGCAGAAAGCTTGCTGGAACCCAGCCAATCCAGCCACTCAGATTCACAGGGGCGGGCGGGGGCGGGGGTCAGGGGTGCCGAGTGGCTACACCTGGATGAAGCCCAGCTGCCCCTGGGAAAAGTGCAGGGGAGACTTCAGGCCCACGTCCTCCTCCGGGTCCGGCAAGGAGGCTTCGTCTTCGGCTGAAGCCTGCAACGACAGCAAAGAGGACGGAAGGAGCTGACAGTGGAGCCGGCTGGAGTTGGGGGTGTCTGGGTAGCTGCTGGGCCACCGCACCCTTTTCCACGGCCTCCTGTCCTTCCGAGGGGCTGGGCCTAGCAACTCTTCCCCAGAAGGCCAGGCTGGAGGCATGCCCTTGCCCCACCCCCACCGACCCCCTTTCCCATCCTGGGGCCCTCAGACCCCACTTCTGGCTGCAGATGTGGGCTGCTGCCAACCCGGGGCTCGTTAAGCTGTGACTCCCAAGCAGCCATTCAAGAATGTTCTGGATCAGGAAAAGAGGATATGAGGTCAAGAGCCCTGCCTCGGGCGATGTGGCCTGAGGTTTGGTTGATGGCCTAAGTGGGGGGTTGCTGAGGGGAGATGCCCCCCCACTTCCCGGAATTGTCACAGCGGAGCCAGACTAGGTGGCTGCAGAGCCCCAGGGCCCCCTGTCCCCACCTGGTTGAGGCGCCCCATCTCCGCGTAGGGCCAGGGGGCGGGCTTGGGGCTCGCGCCAGGCTCCGTGGGTCCAGAGAGGGTGATCACCGCGCACTCTGGGCCCAGCTGTGCCCAGTGCCTGACATTCAGCCTTTCAGAACAGCCTGTTCTTGGCAGCAGGGACAGCTGGTGAGCCCAGCGCAGCAGGGGCGTGCAGGGGTGGGGCAGGAAGGGAAGGAGGCCGGGTGGGGTGCACCTAGCCGGGCCTTAGGTCCAGTGTCCCACGTCTCCTGTGACCCTGGGCAGGTCACCCAGCCCCGGGCAGGCTCCTCAGCTGGAAAATGAAGCTAAGAATGTTGCCTTTGGGTAATAACAGTACTGTGATGATGTGTTATTGTTCAAGACAGGGAGCGCTACAATGGTTTTGTTTTCATTACTATTATTATTTCTAATCCTTAGGCGGGAAGAATGTGCAGCCTTTAGTTTCTTTGTAAAAGGCCCAGAGTGAACAAAGTTAACTGAATAACAAATAGCACAGGAAAAATTCTTCAGAGAGCACAGCCTGCACAAGACCTCCTTAATCAGATGAGGAAACCGAGGCCAGGCAAGAGAAGTGGGGCGTCCAGGGCGAGTGGGGGAGCCCAGCTCCTCACTGGGGCCTCAGTCAGCACCCCCTACTTGTTCCCTGGTCCCAGCAAGAGGCAGAGCAGAGGTTTGAGGGCCGAGGCTCCCAGCTAAGTCTCCCCAGGACACAGCTGCCCCGAGGTACTGAAACCCACCAACCAACCAACCAACATTGCAGCCCCTGACCTGCGAGGTACTGAAACAAAAAGCATTGCAGCCCCCATTCTCTGGACACCCAGAGGGTGTCTTAGACTGCTCCCACAGCAGTGAGACAAGAGCTGAGAGGCGAGGGGGCCAGAGGGAGCCTCCCAGCGGGCACCTGTCCAGCTGGGCCTCACACGCTTGGCGGTCAGCGGGCGCCTGTCCAGCTGGGCCTCACATGCTTGGCGGTCTGGCTCCGACCCGCATCTCCCTACATGGGCACATCCCATAGGGCCTCGACCCCTCTCACCTGCCTGTGTCTGTGTCCGTAACATCCAGGGCAGGGAGGGGCGTGTGGGGCTCTGAGCCAGTTTGGTCCCTTGTCAGCTTAGACACAGAGGAGGTGCCCAGAGGAGGTGCCTCGGTGCCAGGTGGCTGGGGGCGTGGGGGCGATGAGGGCACATGGGAGTGCGGGGGCTGTCACCGATGCTGTCGCTCAGGGCCCTGGCCCCTCCCAGCCCTGCTGTCAGTGTGGACCAGGCAGAGCTGGCCAGCCGGAGGACGCCTGACCTCAGAGACAGCCCCGTGGATCCATACACAGTTCTGAGATTCAGTCATAACACAGCCACAGCTGACCCCTGGCCACCAGCAGTTCCAGAAGCGTCTCTCAGGGGTGATGATTTTGAGGAAAAACCCTCATGTGGTAGAGACACCAAACCGCACCTGCAGGCGGAGCCCAGCCCCCCCCCCGCGCCCCCCCCCCCCATATCGGGGCAGCTGGATTGGCCTGATTAGCCCCCCCCCAGCCACATGGGCCTCCATCCCCACTTTGTCCACTCCAGGGACATTGGCTTGTTCGGGCTGAGGGGAAGCATTTCTCTGGGTTGCTGAATGTTGACGATGCATGTGTGACCCTTTGTTTCTAGGCACTAGAAAAAGAGTAGCAGTGAAGTGGGGGAGCATAAAGTGGACTCCCACTTAGGTCACCCCAAGGAGTCGGGGCCACGGAGGGCCCGCGGTCAGGGCCAGGCCTGGTTCTTTCTCCTGGCAGTGGGGACCATCTTGGCTCCACTCAAGCCCATTGTTCTTCCAGGCAGAGGGGTGGGAGAAGACAGGGTCTTGCAGGCAGGGCCCACCCGTTGATTGGTTTTCCCAGTTCTGCCTCTTTCAGACCATTGCTTAGGGCAAGTTCCTTATCTCTCTGAGCCTCTCTCTTACCAGTAAGAAGATAGAGCAGGGCCCTCCCTGGTAGCAGTATGGGTTAAAGCGGGTGAAACTCACAGCAGCTTCAGTATACCGTTAGATCCTTCAGTACCATTAGATCCCAGCTAGGGAGCTGACCCACAGCGCACAGCAGACCTCTCCTGTCCTGCCCGCTGCTCCCCTCAGCAGTGTACTTCATCCACCTGCCTGTTCTGCTCCCTGCTCTGCTCCTAGTGAATCCTCTCACGGGTCCTGTACCTCTGACCTGCACCCCGGTTCTATATGCATAAATAAATAAATCTTAAAGAAGAAGAAGAAGAAGACCTAGCATCTCCTTCTCTGTAAGGATATAGCACCTACCGCCTGCAGGAACTACCACCATCCAGTGACCTATAGAAAGCACATAGTAGGTGTCCAAGCAAAGAGTAAGGTGGTGTCCCCCTTTTCCGGGTTTGGGGAGTATGTTCCAAGATCTCCTACGAATGCCAGAAATCACAGATAGTACCAAACTTTTTTTTATACTGCTTACCTATGCTAAAGCTTCATTATCGATGAGGCAGGATAAGAGAATAACCATGACCAGCCATAAAATAGGATACTTAAAACCATGTCCTGGAGTAAACGTCTCTGTCTCGCAGACACCTGATGGCAGAACACATTTCCAGACCACATGGGCTTGTGTAGGGGGAGTGCTGGCCGGAGCTATCTGACCCCTAAGGCTTCCCAGGATGATCAATGCCCCCGGGGCTCTCTGGCATATATGGAGTGTCCCTTCCCTCTCTGACCTGCGCGTGGCCAAAGAAAACCGCAAATCCTTTCAATTCCACCTCCAGACTCTGCTAAAAACTAGAGAGAAACCAAAAAGGAATTAAAACCAAAGCAAAGCAAAAGCTCACAGCTTTCCTGGGAGACCCTGACCCCCACTGGCTGGGTGCAGCTGCTCAGGGAGAGGCTGGTAAAGAGATGAGCAAGGGCCTCCCTGGCAGCTCAGGGGTTAAAGTCTCAAGCTGTGGGCAGCTGCCTGCAGCCACTGCAGCAGGAGTTTGATCCTGGCCAGGGAGTGACCCACAGGGCGCAGCAGACCTCTCCTGTCTCCCCGCTGCTCCCCTCAGCAGTGTATTTTGTCAGTCTGCCTGTTCTGCTCCCCACTCTGTCTCTGGTGAATCCTCTCACCGCCCCCCGTACCTCTGGCCTGTACCCCAGCTCTTGTATACCTAAATAAATAAAAACAAATCTTTAAAAGAAAAAGAAAGAGATGAGCTGGGATACCCTCTGGGTGCAGCAGGGGCCCCCTTCCACCCCAGCCCCCCTTCTGGACCTGGGTGGGGTGAGCCCCAGGGGCAGCTGGCAGGGCCGAAGGCCAGGCTCCCTGAAAGCGGCCACTGCAGCTCCCCCATCATCCGGGCGACCTTTCCCTCACTCCTGCCCCCACCTCTGGCCTTGCTGAGCTTCCCGAGACAAAAACAGCTGCTTCCTCGCTAAGGCCCAGTACCCCATTCTCACCGGGGCCCTCCCTAGGGACCGTAGGTCCATTAGATTCTTTTGTCCTCACTGGCGCCAGGAAAGGTGATGGTATCCCCCTTTCCTGCCCACGTTGAAGGGAGCCAGAGTCGGGGCAGCAAAGGGCTGAGGCTGAGGGAGGAAGGTGGGGAGGGACAGTTGGGAGGCTGGTGGGGTTTCTGTTTCCTGCCCTGCACTCTGCAGCACCCCGTGAGTGGGAGTGGGAAGGGGGGGGCGGCCCTCTCCAGGAACGTGATCAAGGGGGCTCAGAGCCAAGGAGAGGTCTGGGTGTTCTGCAAAGAGGAGAGAAGGCAGAAAGAAGGTGAGAAAATCTGGGCCCTGCCTCTTTTTGGGCCGCCACCTGCTGTGTGACCTCTGGCAAGACTTCCACCCTCTCTGGGCCTCAGTTTCCCCTTCTGCCAAAGCAGACTGGAGTCTGTGGTTGTCAAACATAAGGCGCTGTCAGAACCCTCAGGGGCAGAGTTTAACACTGAGGTTCCTGACCTCCACCCTAGAGTTTCAGTTAGGACTGGGTTAAGTGGAGTCCCAACTCTCCAGTTTCTGACAGGCCCAAACCTCTGGGTGTTCTGAGAGGGAGTTCGCACCAAACTTAGAGAAGCCCTGGACTAGGTGATCTCAAAGGCCCCCTGGATCCAGACCTGGTCTTTTCTGAAGGAAACAGGGGGCTTGGGAGACGCCCTGCCTAGCTCCTGGGGGAAATCAGGGTGCAGCTTGCACCCTGAAGGGTTGGTTTCAGGGATGTCACAGATCCCCCAGAGGCAGGACGCCAGTCCTGTCTCAAGGTCACCGTGAAGATGGGCTGGGTGGGGTGATGCAGGCCTCAGAGCCCCACAGAGATCCAAACATGGGCATCCACCCCCCCCTTTCTTACCAAGTGTGAGGGGTGAACCTTCTCGGTCTTCTGCATCCCCTCGGCCAGCTGAGCTGAAAGAGACCAGCAGAGACACCTTAAGGCAGAGGCAGCCAGCAGTGGCCTGCAGCTGTTCCCAGGTGTGGACTGGCCCCTCACGTCTGGGAGCAGGGTTCCCAGAGGGAGCTGGCAGGCGGGTGGGCAGAGAAGCCCTGCCTCGCTCAGCCCTTGGCAGTGACGGTCTTCTGAGGTCGGTACGTGGAAAACCCAGAGCCCAGCCAGGGAAGCAATTTGTGTGCTACTATCACTAGACTGAGGTCTCCAGGAAACTGTGCTAAGGGCAGATTCTATCAGGAGGTGGAGTTGGGGCCTCTCAGGGGAGGACCATGGTCTGACAGAGGAGATGCAAGGGGGCTCCCAGTGGCGGCCGGGCGTGTCCCCAGGCTGTGTGCCCCTTGCCACTCCCCCAGGGCTGCGGGACACTGTCGTCCACGGCCACAGCTGTCTCCCAGGGGCCACCACCTCCGTGCTGCAGACAGGGGCAAGCTGCTTCGTCACTCAGTTTCTCCTCCTGGAAAATGGGGCTCTTGTAATAGGTAGTTCTGAACTGCGTAGTTTCGAGGACACGAAGGGAGATAAAAGCAACATAAGCCACCCTGCGGCGCCTGGCCCGCGGCTCCATGGCTGCTGTTTCAGCTCAGCCTGCAGCTGTGCCTTCCACGCACACACCACACAGGGCCCCGAGCCCAGAAATGTGGCTACTGGGCATGACACCAGGTCTTGAAGAATCAACAGGAAAAAATAACTGTAGATTATGCACTGCTGATGTTTTTAGATTGATTCCACATCGAAATGATGTTTCAGTTATACTGTAATAAGGTATATTGTTAGAATTAATTTACACTTTTTACTTCTTTTTCCCCCTCCCCATGGGTCTACTGGAGAAATTCAAATGGCACACCTGGCATACCCGGCTCGTATTCTGTTTCTGTTGGGCATATTTCTGAGGAAGCTGAGGCCCAGGGAAGTGAGTGACTGGCCCAAGGTCACACAGCTAAAAAGTGGCAGAGCTGGGATTTGAACTCAAGCCTTGAAAGGGACTGAGCATCTTAGAAATCCCTAGAAAGGGACTGAGCATCAAGTTCATCCTTCTCCAGGGCCAGGTCAGACATGCAGCCCTGCCCACCCCCCACCCCCGCAGTCAGCCCTGCTGTAAGCATCTGGGCTTGCAGAGAGTGGACGTGACTCCTCTGGAATGGACAGGGAGGCCGGAGACTGACAAGGGCGGGCTGATGTCAGCCAGACGGAGGCCCCCAGCCCCCCCATCCCCCTCCCCCGTTTTAATTGCTTTTTCCTAACGTTGACCTCCTGTGGTTCCCTCAGAGGGAGAAGCAGACTCCTGATACCACATCTCAGAGGCCCACAAGTCTCGGCGCCGGGTAGGGGTGTGGGAACTGCAGGTCTCAGTGAGGCCTCTGGCTGACAGCCCCTCCCCACCCCCCCTTGCTCACCTTCCTTCCTCCGCTGGAACATGCAGCGGGCGAAGGCGGCCAGGCCTGCAGCCAGCAGCAGGGTCAGCAGGACCAGGACTGGGGCCAAGATGCGGGCCATCGGGATGGCCACCCTGCAGGCGAGACAGAAGGAGCCAGGGGCTGTCACCAGGTGTCCGGGCGCGACAAGAGGCCGCGGCAAGAGGAAGGAGCAGTGTGTTCTTGTTTGCTCAAAGGCACCTTGTAGTTGAGGGAACCTGGAAGGGGACCTAGGTCCCTGGGGCTCACCTGGACTCGGAGCTGTTGCTGCTGGGGACCCGGCTGGTGTCCTCTGCTGCGGTGGAGTCCAGCTGTGTGAGCGGGCGGGGGGTCCCTGCAGGGGGAGAGGTCCCTGCGTGAGGAGAGGTCCCCGTATTCGGAGAGGTTCCTGTGTACCGGGAGGGTCCTCGGTGGTCACGCTGGGGGGGGCCTGTGGACGGAGAGGCCGTGGCCCCCTTCTTCCCCTGCTTGGCTGTGGTGACTGTCGGGTGGAGACCAGGAGATGCTACAGTCCAAAAGCAATGCCTCAGCTCCTGCCCTGACCCTTCAGTCCCGGCCTCCCCAGGCCTCCGACCTTTGACCCTGAACCCGTCCCTTCAGGGTCAATATCTCAGAACATCCCCAGCTAAAGGACACCCCGGCGGTCAAACAGACGCCTAGATGAAGCCACTTTGGGCCAGCAGGCCACCTCTCGGCCTGGCCCTCCCTTTGGGTATCAGCAACCTGTTGTCTCTGCCTGCGGCGTGGCCCCACCCTCGCCCCCACCTCTGTGGGCCATTCCAGGGGTCACGCGGTACTGCCTTCCTGCCTTCCTCCCAAAGTGCCTGCCTCTGTCTCATTTGTCCTCACCAGAAAGTCCTCATCACAGGCCCAGCCCACTGTCCGTGCCTCAGTGAGGCCTTGACCTCAGTAGCCACAGGGATGGCAGGGCAGGGTGGAAGGGCGAGGCCCGAGGCCCAGACTTCTCTGCTCACCCCGCGGCCCCCGGGGGAACAGACCCCACAGGCTTTGCTCTGGCTTCCGCCAGGTTCGCCTGTCCCCTGTGACCTCGCGTGCGGCCTGACGCCACTGAGCCCCTGACTTCTCACTAACAGTCCAGCTCCCAGCTGAGGGGTTATAAACGCAGTGTCCAGCACCAGGCAGGCACTTGCTGGTTATTTCTCTGAGGAGGAGCGGGAGGAGGAGAAAACCATTCACTCACTCAATTGTGGGGCCTGAGTTTGCCAAGCTTTTGCCTTGGGCTGGAGACTCCTTGTGGTAGGAGGCTGGAAGGAAGGAGTGGGGGAGGGAGAGCAGCAGGGACCTAGAGGAAAGGGAGAGGCTGGTCTCAGGGGGGCAGGATCCCTCACAGCCAGATCCCTCACAGCTCCTCCTGCCTGGGGAGCACCAGCAGCTGGGAGGGAGCACTCCCGCCTCAGTTCCGAGCTCACGGGCTATCCCTCAGCCACTGAGGCTGGATGGAAGATTCTAGCTGGAAACTGGTCTTCCCTCTCCGAAGTCCCCTGGTCTCCCACTTAGCTCAGACCTTCATTTCCCCTCCCTCCAGCTGCACAGTGTGACTGGTCCCATTCCTTCCTGCTTGCAAAGAATCAATGGCTCCTCATTGCCCGTGACCTGAAGTTCAAAACTTAAGTGCGCTCTCCAGGCCTTTTGAGCCTGGACTTCCACTCACCTGGCAGCCCAGCTCTGCCCTCTCCGGCACCAGCCTCCAGAGTTGCTCTTCGCCCAGCCGCGCCTCCTGCCTGCCTCCTTCCACGGCTGTTCCGTGTGCTGCTACACCCTCCTCTCATCGTTCAGGCCCGGCCCAAGGGCCTCTTGGTCCCATTACCGCCTGGGGCCTCCCCCTGTTCCCTGGAGCAAATCCCTGGTTGTGTTCCCACAGGGCCAGCACACAGGCCGGCGGAGCTATTTGCCGGGTGTCTCCACGAAACTGAACCCCGCCAAAGGCACAATGCCTGTCTCCTGCACCCACAGAGTGGGCAGCATGGGGTGGCCAAGACTCCCCACAGCCTGTCCATCAGCCGCCTCTCCTGACTTTCCTTTTCCTCCCCAGCCTCTATGCTAACACTACGTCAGGGTTTTTTTTTTTTAATTTTTATTTTTTCTCTTTCTTTTGAGTCAACAATCAAATCTCCTGCTAATAAACAGTATTTATCTTTTCCTTTCCAATATTTATACTTCATCTTGTCATGTGTCATTGCTTGGGGCCTCCAGACAATGATCATAAAGAAATGCAAGTGGGTCCCCTTGTCTCATTCTGACTCTCTGGAAGTTCTTTTGATGCTTCACCATACTCAACCGTAGGTTGCTTGAAAGGAGTGATTGTTACCTTTTCTGGAACTCTGTGAGCCACTAGCTCAACTGTTGGTGGCTAGGAATTGGCTGTGGCAGGGTCATCGATGCCACAAAGACTGGTCACAGACCACAGCACCTTGGGGTTGCTGTGCCAGCCCGCCTTTGTCATCAGTCTTTATCTTTATTTTTAACACCCCAAGCACCAGCAGCGAGAGGGGCAGGTCTGACACAGGAGGATGCCTGTGATATTAATGGCTGCGCCAAACTTTACTATGACTAGTGATACGTAATTATAGATGAGGGTAAGAATCAAAACAAGCGTGCCTCAAATCTAGGTTAAAATCAATCGCCACTGGCGAGGCAGACCTCTCCTGACCCGCCCGCTGCTCCCCTCAGCAGTGTACTTTGTTGATCTGCCTGTTCTGCTCCCCGCTCTGTCTCTGGTGAATTCTCTCACCCTCTGCATCTCTGGCCTGTACCCCAGTTCTGTATGAATAAATAAATAAATAAATCTTAAAAAAAAATCAATCGCCACTGATAAAAATGAAGGCTGAATCCTGATAAGAATAGGAAAGGTAGAACATTTTGTAAATTATGGAGAACAGTTTCCACTGTTTTTGATGCAGCTGTTAATATTAAATGAGTTGATCTTTATTTCCTTGAATTAAAACAAAGGCCTGCGGATGATGTGGTTGTGGTGGCTGGTGAAGGTTCCGGGATGGGCTGGGGCCCAGTTATGAGGCCACACGAGGCAAAGGGCAGACAACAAAGACAGAAACAACCTGCATTTCTGGATCCTGTCTCCCCACTTTCTGTTGGGTCTCTCATCTGAGCGCCAGCTGGGCTCCCAAAGCCTCAGTCTCCATCTGTGAATGGGTGCAAGGCGGCACACTCACCCTCACTGATGGGCAGGCGGGGGCCGCCCACACCTCGGGCCCTCCAGCTTCCTGCTCCTCAAGGCAGCAGGTCCAGGTGGGATTCTGGACCCCAGGAGAGGTGCTCCTGCCCCTGTCCCCATTGTCCCTCAGCTCAGCAAGCTGGAGGCTGGTCCCCAGCCACCCCCAACACGGCCCTGAACTCCAAGGTCTGGGGAAGGGAGCCGGGAGGAGAGAGCCGAGCCACCCGCAGGGCTAGCCAGCGGGCTGCAATACCTGTGGGTACCCAAGCAGCCATGGTGGGGGGGCCCATCTAGTAGGACTTGGGTGGCACCTGTGCCCCCAACGCTGCTGCTGGGCACTGGAACTGTGACCTCTCCCTGGGACCCCCAGATGTCCCGAGAGGTTAGTGAGAGCACCACACCCCTCAGGACAGGGAAACTGCCTCCACACTGACCACCTGCCCGCCCGTCCTTCGCCCCCTCCTCACCTCCTGTGCCCACCCCCACCAGGAAAGGGGGAAGGAGAGATGGTGTTACCTTGGCTAACGGTCAGCGAGACCAGAAAAATCGTATCGAGGCCCAGCCTGCTGACCCCGCACATGTAGACCCCGGTGTCCTCCAGGGTGAGGTCCCTCAGGGTCACCGTGAACTTGTGCAGGTGGGGGTCATTCTGGATGGACACCCTGCCCACCGTCTTCTCCAGGCCGTCTTCGTCTGCGTAGATGGTGTCAGAGCAGCGGGAGAAAAGGAATATCCTCTCCCGACACCAGTACTTGGAGTACTGCTTCAGGTCCTCCCCGTAGGTGCACTGCAGTGACACAGTGTCCCCCTCAAACCCCCTGACCTCCTTCGGGCCCAGGAGGTCTCCATAACCTGCAACCACAGAAGGGAGGAGGTCTGAACTCCTTGGATTCAAGTGCAGGGTCAAGACAGAAGACTTTCCTTAGTCACCACTGGGGTGGCCTTTGTAACTGTTAGTGCATGATTGGGGTGAGGGGAACATAAAAAAAAGAAGAGTCCATATGCTGCTCCCCTGTCCCCCTCGGTTCTTCAGACCAGGCTGTTGCTGTTTCCCTAACTGGGGGTGTTGATGGATGGTGGCGAGGAAGTGCTCAGGTCAGATAGCCCAGGGTTTGAATCTCAGCACTGCCGCTTAGAAGCTGTGTGACATTGGGAAAGTTGCTTGACCTCTCTGGGTATAAGTTTGCTCATCTAAGGATGATGATTACGTCCTATTTCATTGAATTAATGCTCGATTTATGGTAAACGGCAATTACTATAAAGGCAACTTATGACTTGATGAAAGGAGATAATTCTTTATCCAGTGGGTGGTTGTGAGTGGGATAGCAGAGGCCCAAGAAATATTTGCTGAATTTGTGGCAACTATATATGGGGAGGGAAATGAAGATGAGAGAGATAAACCTCCTCTCACAGCCATGAAGATTCGGGAAGAAAATCTGACATTGGGTTACCGGAACAGCTTGCCCCTCTGAGGGCTGAGGAAGCAGAGGATGAAGACGGTGGGGAAGCACCAGCTTCTAGGCAGGCTGCAGCCACCGCCCCGAGAAGGGAAGCGCCTGCTCCAGAGACCCTGGCTCTCCAGACCCAAAGGGCAGCTTGGACTGCAGCCCCACCCCGCCCACGACCCCTCTCACCTGGGAGGACCAGGCAGCTGCACAGGAGGATGAGAGGTCGCATGGTGGGCCCTGGGCTGTGGGAGCGCCGGGAACTGGGAGCGCTTCTTGGCCACCCGGGCTTTAACTTCCTCTGAAGGGGGAAATCTGGCTGAGGAAGGGAGGGAGGGGCCCTGTGCTCGGCCTTCTCCTTACTTAGTGTGGACGGCTTCGTGTGGGCGCCACGCCCAACTGGGTGCCCCTCCCAGAGGACGACCTTCAGGGCCTGCCCTCGGGGTCTGTGTGTGGAGTCCTGGGAGTCCAGCAATGGGGAAGGGGAAAACTGCAGGGACTTCCACTAGCCGTTAAGTAATACTGATCTTTCCCTTTGATCATGAGCGTTCGGAGGCTCTGTGCCTTCGTCACCAATGAAAATCAGACACCAGCACTTCAAGTTATCCCTGCAAGCTGGAGTATCTTCCGCCCCACTGCTGGGGAAATCATTAGTTGTGAGCCCCGGCACTAGAGCTGGCTATCTGAAGTGCTGAAAAGATGCATATTTATTGCTATGTCCTACGGCTATACATTTTTTTTTTTTAAGATTTATTTGTTTGTGCATACAGAACTGGGGTACAGGCCAGAGGCTCAGGGGTGGCGAGAGGCTTCACCAGAGACAGAGTGGGGAGCAGAACAGGCAGATCTACAAAGTACACTGCTGAGGGGAGCAGCGGGCGGGTCAGGAGAGGTCTGCCAGCCCATGTGGTCACCTCCGGGGCAGGCGGGAATCGAACCCTTGCGGCAGCGGCCTTAGCTTCTCAGTGCTGCGCTTTAACCCGCCGCGCCACCAGGGAGGGCCACGACTATAAATCTTTTAAATAACAATTCCAATATGGTTGGTTTCCTTTTAAACATGTGTGTTTTGTATATTTAAAAACTCATTATTCTGAGAGGAAGTTCGTAAGTGTCACTGGGCAGCCGGGTGGTCAGCGGCACCAGGGCCAGGGCCTGCAGCGGGTGGGTGGTCCACACTGGAGGGCGCAGTACCGCTCTTGGCCACGGGGCGGCGGCGCAGGCGCGGGTGAGCGAAGCCGTAGTGTGGCCTGAGCCCGGCCGCCAGGGGGCGGTGCTGCGAAGCTGGTCTCCTGTGCTCGCTGAATGGCCTTGGCGGCTAGAAAAGAGAATTAGTGATTATCCACGTAGAGTTGAATCCTCCTTGAAAGAAACAGAACACACACACACACACACACACACACACACACACACACACACACACACACACCACTAGCGGGAGCTCTACCACACCGTTTCCCACTAAGTTTTACCTCTCTTTTTATTTTCTTTTTTAAAAAAGATTTATTTATTTATGCATACAGAACTGGGGTACAGGCAAGACGTGTGGGTGGTGAAAGGTATTATCAGAGACCGGACGGGGAACAGAAAAGGTGGACTGACTGAAATACACTGCTGAGGGCAGCCGCTGGCGGGTCAGGAGAGGTCTGCGGCATCGTGTGGGTCAGGGTGCGCATACGTGTGTGTGACTTTGGGAATGTGGGAGGTGTTTTTTGTGTGTGTGTCTTTGGTTTAAGTAAACTACTGGCATTTAATGGACCAGGACCCAGATTCACGTTGGTGAAAATCCTTTTGAAAGACTCCCACTACATGTACAGACTTCAAAAGAGAATTAAATTTCACAGTTTTAAAAACAGATGAAAATAATATCTGTTCTAGCAGTTAGTAATGCATCTCTGCTTTTTTTCTTCCCCAACCCGCTCACTTCTCTTCAACCTTAACATTCATTGCAAGTGGGGAGAGCCCTTTGGCAACCCATTCTGCTTTCTAGCCTCACCAGGCCCTGCACATTGACATTCTGAAATAAGTGTTATTTGCTGACAAATTGTTTTCCTTTTATTTTTTCCTTTTTTATGAAGGCTCGGGCATTAAATTGTGAATTTTAAAAATTAGGTATGTGAAAAGGCATTTTATCTGTGTAATTTCAGAGCCTGAAAGAAGTGTCACCCACTTTTTGTTTTTATGAAGAGGGTGTTGCATCTAATATGGCTCATCCCTGCTCCCTTCGTGAGGTTCTTCTCTGTACCCCTTCCCCATCTCCCACTGGGCTGATAGATGTGAGGCTCGGTTAGAAACAGATCTCCTGCAGCTGGGAGTAGAGCAAGAATTGGGGAGAAGGGCCTAGGGTGAGGTGCTTGTGGAGGCCCTTCCCATATAGGGGGCAACAGGTTGAGCCCCCTATGGATTTGGGGAGCAGAGAGGAAAGGACATTGTGTCCTGCCTCCTTCTTGGAGCAATGGGTGGGAGAGCAGCAGGTGAAAATATTCCTTAGCTCACCACATCCTCACAACCGTGTGTCCCCAAGAGTGGCAACAGCTGTCACTTGGATGAGTGGACAGGGTGCTGGATCCATGGAAGAGGCTGGTGACACTGGAGGCCATGGGGAGCCCCAGGGTCAGCGGATGCTGGTGTGGGCACGCAAGATGAAGGCTGCCCTTTCTTTTCTATATCCTGAAAGTAAGGAACTTTGGGACTTAGAACCACCTTTGCCTGAAGGGAGGAGCAGGGGAGCTCCCTGAAGAGAGCAGGTTTATTCCTACTCAGCTTGGATAACCTGGACTGAAACTTATGTGCCAGCTGCGAGGCAGAGTTGAGAAAGACCTGTGAGCAGGCCAGGCCAGACCTGGTCCAAATGGGTCGAGCTGGAAAGGCGCTGCTGAGCCAGCCCACCCGATTCCTCTCCGGTTCTGACTCACTTAGACCCCGTCACTTCTGATCTAGCTCAGCCAGTTGTTCCTCATGGGTCAGGGGTTATCAGAATCAGCACACTTGGGAGCTATCTTGTGTGTTATAAGATGTTTAGCAGCCTTTCTGGCCTCAGATGCCAGTAGTTCCTTCCCTGTATTCCACCTCCCCTCCCTGTGAAGGCAATCAAAAGTGTCTGTAGACATTGTTAAATGTCCCCTGGGAGGCAAAATTACTCTGATTTGAGAACCATTGCCTTTGATCGTTTGAAGCCTGTTAGCGCCAGTGTCTCGAGTGGGCCCTCCCTGGTGGCACAACAGGTTAAAGCGCTGCACTATGAAGCTCTCCACAGGCTCTGCAGCACAAGTTCGATCCCTGGCCAGGGAGCTGACCCACATGGCGCAGCAGACCTCCTCTGTCCTGCCCGCTGCTCCCCTCAGCAGTGTATTTCAGTCAGTTGGCCTGTTCTGCTCCCTGTCTGCTCCCGGCTCTGACTCTGGTGAATCCTCTCACCCTGCCCCAGGTGTCAGTTTCAGTAGGTTTCAGTCAGTTCTTTAAAGAAATCAGAACCAGATTCAGTCAGTTTCACTTTCACTTGTTTTGAACTTCTCTAAACAGTGTCAGCTGTTTTCACTTTCAGTTTCATTTGCTTTGGCTTCACCTCTGAAAACTCATCACTGGTCAGACTAGTTTCAGCTTATAGGAACAGGTTGGAGCAGGTTTCAACCAGCTTGAACTGGTCTCAACTGGTCTCAGTCATTCAGAACTGGCTAGAACAGTTGTAACAGGCTTGAACTGACTAGAACTGGCTGAACCAACTGGAAACAGTTGAAACCAGCTAGAACCAGTCTCAGCCAGCCATAACCAGTTCAGCCAGTTGACACTGGCCAGAATTGGTTTCAGCCAGTTGGAACTGGCTTAAAGAGGCTGGACCTGGTCTCAACTGATCAGAACTGGGTTGAAGAGGCTGGAACCAGTCAGAACAAACTGGAACTAGTCTCAGCCAGTCAGAATCATTCTCAGCCAGTCAGAACAGGCTGAGACTGGTCTCATCTGGTTTCACCTGGTTGGAATTGGTTTGAGCCAGTTTGGACCTGTTTCAACACGTTTGGCCCAGTTTAGCATCTGGTGCCTATAAGAACCAGTGTCTTGTGTGTCCTTGCTGGTGGCTGTCCACAGCCACTGCAGCACGAGTTTGATCCCTGGCTAGGGAGGTGCCCCATGGTGCAGTAGCCATCTCCTGTCTTGCCTGCTGCTCCCATCCGCCTGTTCTGTTCACCACTCTGTCTCTGGTGAATCTTCTCCAACCCAGCACCTCTGTTCTTGAATGCGTACATAAATACATCTTAAAACAAACAAACAAAGAAACAAAAAACCAGTGTCTCAGTAGGTTTTGGTTTAAGTTCTTTGAAGAAGTCAGAACTGGATTCAGTCAGTTTCAGTTTCACTTGCTTTGAGCTACTCAGAACTGTTTGCAAATGTTTTCATCCCTTTGAGTCAGTTGGAGGCAGTGTCAGATGGTTTCATTTTCTGTTTCAGTTACTTCCGGTTTCACTTCTTTGACAGATCAGCACTGGTCAGACTGGTTTGAGCTTGTTGGAACCAGTTTGAGCCTGTCTGAACTGGTCTCAGTGGGTCAGAACTGATTTGAACTGGTCTCAGCCAGCTGGAACCTGTGTGAACTGGTCTGAACCGGTTCCAGCTGGTCTGAACCAACTGGAACCGGTCTCAACCAGTCTGAACCTGCTGGAACCCAATTGAACAGGTTTGAACTGTCTGGAACCACGTTCAGGTGGTCTGAACCAGTTTCAGCCAGTCAAAACGGGTTTGAGCTGCTTCAAACCAGTTTCAGCCTGTTTGGTCCAGTTTTGCATTTGAAGCCTATTAGAACCAGTGTCTCGTGGTTTCAGTTCAATTCCAGTTTCACTTCTTTGACAAGTCAGCATTGGCCAGATTCGTTTGAGCTTGTGGCAACTGGTCTCAGCTGGTTGAAACCAGTGTGAACTGGTCTGAGCCAGTCTCAGCTGTTTTGAAATAGTTTGAACTGACTGGAATGGGTTTCAGCTGGTTGGAACAGGTTCGAGCACATTCGAGACAGTTTCAGCCCTTTAGGTCTGGTTTAGCTATGGAGCCTGTGTCTTGTGGTTTCAGTTTCAGTGGGTTTTGGTTTCAGTTTTATGAAGGCGTCAGAACCAGATTCAGTCAGTTTCAGTTTCCCTTGGCTTTGCGCTAGTCAGAACTGTTTGGAAATGGTTTCATCCATTTTGACCCAGTTGGACGAGTGTTAGCTGGTCTCACTTTCATTTTCAGTTGCTTTCATTTGACAAATGC